GTTGCTATCGTGTACGTAGTCGCTCTGTTATTACTGTAGTCCTAGATGAGTGAGGGTAGACAGTGCAGTAGTACCCGCGCAAAGTCTACTGCCACTCAAGACTAAATTAGACGGTGTTGTCTGGCTGCATCTGGAGAAAGCGGCTTACGCCTGATTCCTGCTTGGTCATCTCGAATCGTCTTTTCGCCGGTTGAAGCGGATGACTGTTGAGAGTGCGGTAGGTGGCGGCATTTAGCACTTTTGGCATAGGCGCAGCACTTCTAAGAGAAGTATCCTGAAAAATGACGCATGTCGATTTGTTTCGACCTAAATGCATGATAGATCTTTAGCTCTTAACACACATAGCTTCTTTAACTTCGGACCTACCAATATCTCCCTATGGTTAAGTCTGCACGGTAGGTAAAATCTCATACATGTATTTTCAGGCCACACTGCAACTTGCTACTTACTGAGTTTCAGAAGTATGCTACTACGACCAGCATCTTTAGCATAGGCACTGCACTCCGATCCCTAGTAGATTAAACTGAGCGGAAGCTGACTTAGCCGATCTTTTACGTGCCTATCCCCGACAGCACTGACTCAGCTCGGGCTGCTCGAAATCTCCGGCGGAGGCACATGTGGTAAGCAGATTATTTACAGCCTCATACTGCCCGACAAACAGAAAATCGCACCATGCCAAGCTGACACAGCCTGGCATATAGAGCTGAGAGGGAATACGGCAAACTGCTCGACATAAGGGCATGTTAGAGACTTGTGCACTACTTTACAAACGCGCTATTATTATCCAAATGTTAATCACTATTTCCTCACACACATTGGGAGTGCATACTGGGTGTGACTCCTTAAACACACACAGGCAGTACTTATAGTATGCTATCTACTGGCCTTAGTAAGCATGATAACTAAAAATCTAGCACTTTAGCATAGGCACGTACCTATAGCAGCAGTATCTTAGTCCGTACCCAGCAGAAACGTACACAGCTCGATGGATCGAGTTGAGAGTGTGGAAACCAAGGCAAACGCTGTTGTGCTCAGGACCCCAAGCATGTATTGCCCGAAATAGCTAAACCCAGGGTCACCCTCCTTGTTGAGACCAAGGGGGTATGAGCCCTAGCGTTGGCTAAATCAGCGTCACCTCTGATAAATGGTGGCGTCAGCGCCAGCACCAATAATACTAGACTTCTTGCCGTGATTTAGGGGATAATGAGCCCAGTGCTGACTTAATCAGCGTCATTTCTGACGTACAAAATAGTCAGTACCAGTACCAACAAGTACTATCACTAAGCTACACCCTACTACGTAGTATTAGAAGTAGGCAGTACCAGTCTTGGTTTACTAAGGTCTGGCTAGACACCTACTATAGGTGAGTGAGGATAGACCGCACAATAGTACCAGCACAAAGTCTACTGTCACTTAAGACTAAGTTAGGCGGTGTATTGGCTTGCATTT